ATAAAACATTAGCCACAGCATTTTCCCCTTGTGAAATATTGCGAGGACAGGCAAAACTGACAGTTGTCTTTTAGGTCTACTACTGTAGAATATCCAGTTAACTGCCTAGGCATGTTGAATAGCATGTTGAAAAGTACATTAAAAAGAAAGCACATTTATAACCGAAAAGACTTATTTATCATCCGCAAAACACCCTAACACACGCACACATATATTCAGCGCCGTGTCCATACGCATGAACTCAGAAGGAATTTACGACGAATTGTAAATTTATACCCAAAAATTATACATTATGGAGCAAACGATGGTGGCATGCTAACAGTTTCTGTTTATTTATGGTCGCAGAATGCTCCACAGTTACATAAAATATATCATTAAAAATCTGCCGAGACACGTATTATTTTTGCTGGCCGGGAGGGCTTTGAGTAGGCCCTGCACCAATTGATAAGAAAATTCTACGTGGACAGACAGCTTTGTGTAGAAGAATTAGTAAATGCCACTAGTTGCTATAGGCTGGAGGGAACTAGACCCACATTTACTTTATCACACGACCCCCGGCGGGCTTTGTAATTTAGTTGATTAAAGTGTTGATCACCTTAAAGTCCTACATTTGCAATCATACATTCGAAATTCTTAGTTTACTGCCTTTTTCAGGGTTGGAACAAAGACGTTATTGAAATCTGTCATGAAACCTACTATCAACAAATACTAGGATGGCTTGAACGACTATTTCTTGTGGCTTAGTCGATATGAGCCGGCCATACTCAAACCTGAGTATTGACCTCTGTGTTGCAGATGCATGTTGGGGCGATTAAGGACGATGCGGTCGGAGAATTTCCTCGCGGTAATTTGATACCGAGAATCCCCTTTGCAATACTTCGGTCATTTGACATCACTCATGGTCGCAAATGATTTTGGACCACCAGTCTCATTTCCTGTATTCCGCTATAAATCACATTTTGTATGTTGACGTGTGTTATCTGGGACAAATAAAAAAATCCTTATTGGATAGTATATTTTAGAAAAGGGCACATTAAATTTTATTTAAATTCAGAATTACACGTCGGTTTAGAATGAACTTGATAATTGTAAAATAATGGTTTATTTTTAAAACATCTACTGGACCCTGGTTTAGATAAGCGTCCAGTAAATGTGACAGTAAGTATTATGACTAAAATCATACTCTCGGGTTTTGAAGTAATTACTAACTAGGCTACTTGCGGGAGGTCGTTTTGAATGCAGCTAGACATTGAGGCAGATTCAAAGGTCTGCGTCACGTCCCACATCGACGAGCATTTAGCCAGTATCTGCAAGGAGAATAATTGAGTGTATGCCCCCAAACATATTTGCGACTATCCATATTGCCAAGAAAGCTTCAGCCTATTGGGGAAGTTACGTAAGGCATGCTTTGAAGTGGCTAGGTCAGGCGCATCTACACAGATGATGGTTAATGTGTGTGCAACCGTTATCCATTCAAGAGCGTCAAACCAACACTAATTAAACCGCGTACGTTGGATGAGGATAAAAGTTCAATTGTGTATTCAAAACGAATCATCAGTCGATTTTAGCCCAAGCATGCGATTGGACGCGGCTTTAGAAGGGTGCTTTAGTTGTGAACACCTGTCAGTTTTCCATACACTTTGCTGGCTTATGATGATGAATGTTGCAGTATTTCCAGTTCTTTTATGGTTTTTGCAATTACTTTTAGCATGCAGACAGGCAAGCGTGAGTTATCTGCAAACATTGCAGGATCGTAGTCATTTCTCTATATGAACATTTCCATTTACAACAGTCTCTGCAATATGCTGTCTTTCCCACACAATTCATCTTTAAAGAATTGTTTAACGTTTGAATATCAATAAACGTCTTTTGTGCATTTATTTATGCACGAAGACAATATTGTTTACATGCGTCTGCAATGTTTTGTGGCTTAAATTTTTGTAAGTGTGCTATTCGATCCCTGTCAGAATTTAAGAAATCTTAAGATGGCATAGTGTGGGACGACACGCGTAGCAGGCATGCGTTTGTCTTTCAGAGAACTGGCTTCGTTCGGTTAAATTGATAGCTAGAGACCTCGACATTTCCCTGACCTCTCAAATTTAAAAGACTATGTTTAGTCAGCAAAAAAGACGTTAAAGTCGGTTGTACTGTTGTCTTCGATAAATTATACGATTATTTAAAGTAGTTTACCGTAACCGTTTACAAACTAGTTTGCTTTTATGCTCACGTTTCAATTCGTCCGCATAGAGCTGCAATAAAATAGCAACTTGTACACGAAAGTTTGTCAGCATTTTCTGACTGCACGAAGTAGATCTTAATTGTCCATAGTGATTGTTAAACATGCGTTTATTCCTTGACATGAATATGCAAGATGTTTTGATGATTAGGTGATCACAAGCTTTAATGAATTCCTTCTGCGGAGTTTTATCCTTCTGAGGGAACAAACTACATTATTTACATTCGATACGCAAGGCCATTCTATGCCCCTTGAAATTGGAGGTTTTCAACGGGTGACGGGTTGTCGTGTGTTTCGTAATCCGGATTTACTGAAATATAACTGCCAAAATGTCCTTATTACAGTTAATCTCTACTGGCGCCAGGTATGTTATGAACTCCCTACTTCTCATAAATTGTAATATATTGTAACTGAGATTTGTTGCAGAATTTCAAAATTATTCTTTTCTTTAACTAGGCCAAGACTGTACTTCGATTTCCAGCTTCGATAACAAAGCTCGGACATATGACAGCGAGCGTTAACATCACTGGTTGGACGGACAGGCATACACCTGCAAATAACTGCTATGTTGACTACGTTTCCGCAATACGCCTTGGTGAAGGAGAGTTCTACGACAAGCGGTTTGCTGGCATAAAATTATTCAAGACAAAGTTTGATAAGTATTTGACGGACGCACTAAGAAAAATCAATTCAAATGTTCCAATTCAGTGCTAACGATAACAAAGGAAATTTAAAGAGGCCGATCGAATGAAACCATAATATATGGCAATCCCTTTAGAGAGTTTGTGTGTGGTAGGTGGTGGTTTGTGCATGTGCTGTCATTACCATCTTAATAATGTCCCCAGGTATACCTGCCTCTCTCTTTTTTACATAATTTCAATCATTCGTTCACTACAGCCAGATAATTACCTTCCTAGGTGGCATGTACTGTTTGCTACTTCCAAATTCATTTCACATACAGCATGCCACGATTTGGAGAAAATACTTATCCTTGGTTTAACAAATGAAATACAAGTATAAAAGCAGTATGTATAATGGAAAGCAGGTGAACGCAGAGGACATTATCGCTACAAGACGACAGCTTGATGAGATATGGCAGTTCAATCATTGTGACCGACGACGTCGATCGCACAGTAGTGTGCGAGCGGGCGCGGTGACTTGCGCGCGGGCTTTTGGGGATAATAGAGGATCGCTCCTACCCGCCTGGGCGCGCAGTCAGGACATGCACAAGAAGACCGGAGGTTGGGGGGGGGGAGGTGATGCAATGGGCTGGCAGGGCCAGACCCCCCTCTTAGGTCTGCTTTCGCACTCGGTTCGGGTTCCACTATGTGGGAGTGCCATAAAGACCACACTAGAAAGGAGCCCTTGCTGCCTGACTCTGTACGGCACTCAGCCACTGAACCTAAAAAAACTCACAGTGCACCGACTAAGATGTAAGAGACATCCCGTCAGTTGATCGTGCACCATTATGGTTTTAGGCGCGGCAGACATTTGTTAGTGAAACAAATGGGTTGAGTCATTCACCTTACTTAGTTTTTTTTATATCTCGACCCCAGTCACTGCCTACCCGTTTTGATTTATAGCGTGGGGAGTTTGAGCATACCATATAACGGGCTGATGACTGTGTAACCAAGAACAAGTCGGAATAAGAAGGCATGCGACTTAGTTTGGTCTTTAATAATGACAGTTCGACCGTCGATTTCGACGATGTCCACCGTGTGCCCCACAGCTGCAGCAGCCGTGGGAGCAGGGACGGTGACTTACGCAGGGGTTTATAGTGCCAGTAGACTTGCGTAGCATCTACCTACACTCTCTCCTCCTCCCCCGCCTGGGCCCGGTGTCAAGACAGAGTCAAGAAGACCGGAGACGAGGGAGGCCGCAGGTGGATGGCTCGGACGGATCCTCACCTTGGCGTTCCACCACACCCCCTGGTCCACACAACAATAACCAGGATTTGAACCAACACAACATAGATTTGGAGGCTGGCACGGCCGAAGCCGCACCTGGGCGTGCCGCCAACGCCTGGCTCGGATCCCACACTGTGGTGGGAATGCCATAAAGGCCACATTAAAAAGCAGCCATTGCAGCCTGACTCTCAGACCGCCTCCAGTAATGGAGGAGGTCCAAGGTACCCCGTCAGTTGGCAACCTTCCAAGCCACGGCTTTTAGCGCACCGTGATAGCTTCAAGCGCGTCAGATTGTTCATAGTGAGGAAAATGCGCTGAGTCGTCGACCTCACTCTCCCTTCCCATTCCCACACCCCAGCCACTGTCCGAGCCGGTCAGTAGACTGGAGTGGGGAATGGGCGCGGTGGCTGACATGGTCGACTGACCTTGCCTACGCGCGCCACAGCACGACCTGGCCCCCCATACACACAAACACCAGGATTTCACACAACGGGGGTTGAACGGCGTGTCTCTCACATGCGTGAGAGGGCCGTGGAAGGTGCTGCTTCAGCCCGCCCCCAGCCCACCAGTCCGCCACTACACGACACACACACACACACAACGTGACGAACTGCGTGAACCGAGAACGGGCGTCAATCAGCAACCTTCCTATCCACGACACTTGACGTGTCGGGATAGTCTCAGACTCAAGTCACTCGTGCAGCCGAGACCGCATGGGGACCGAGTCGAGATGCACACTTCCCACTTGCGTGGGAGGCGGCAGTTGAGTGCATGAGGTGTGTGAGGGTTGACGTCTAGTGGGGTGATGATGTTAGGAGGTAGGGAGTGAGGGAATGTGTGGTGTGACCGGCGGTTGTCTACCGCAGGTCGTTGTGGATGCGCATGTGGCCGAATAGACCCATGCGATTCCGGAAGGTGCGAGGGCATTGTGGGCAGTGAAGGCGAGTGCGATGGGTATAGGTTGGTGCTCCAGGCACTGGTTCACCAGTCTCTGTGCGATGGATTCGCAAGTGACCGACCAGGCCGTTGTGTGAGGTGAAGGTGCGCTCGCAGTGAGGGCAGGTGGGGGTGGTTGCGGTTGCTGTGTCGTGGTTGGCGATGTGTGAGACGGCAGCCTGAACGGCCACCGCTGGGGCAGTGGAGGAGAAGGAGGAGGATGGAAGTGGTGGTGCAGATGGAGTGTCAGAGTTAGTTGGCGGAAGAGAGGACGAGGAAGAGGCGGGCGCGGGGACGATGGCTGTAGCAGTTCGAGAGGTGCAGTTGGTTCGAAGATGTCCAACAAGTCCGATTCGTGCACGGAATGTCCGTTGACATCGAGGACACGTAGGGAAAGGTTGCGCGGCGGCGTTGCGTATTGGGCGAAGTTGTGATTTGCGGACTTCGCGTTTCACTTTGGCGGCGGCTATGCGGTTGGCTTCGTAGATAGCAGCGCCCGTCTTCACTGTTCTCCTCCATGTCGGACGATCGCGGGCGAGCTCTTCCCAGTTGGTCGGGTTGATGTGCAGGCGCTTCAGGGAGGACTTCAGAGTATCTTTGTAACGGCGAATTAGGCCTCCTTGACGACGAGAACCCGTCGCGACGTCTCCGTAGAAAAGTCGTTTGGGTAGCCGCTCGTCGTCCATGCGCACCAGGTGGCCGCTCCAGCGCAGCTGCATTTGTCTCAACATGGAGTAGATGCTCAGAATTCCCGTCCGTTCCAGCACTTCGGTGTCGGGGATGCGATCCTGCCAGTTCAGCCTCAGGATGCGGCGGAGACAGCTGAGGTGGAAGTGGTTTAGTCGACGTGCCTGCCTCGTGTAAACCGTCCAGGTCTCCGCTCCGTACAGTAGCGTCGGCAGGATGACGGCCTTGCACATCTTCAGCTTTGTGCTCAGTTGGAGATCATGACGATTCCAAACTGTGCTTTGGAGGCGACCGAATGCTTGACTGGCTTTCGAGATCCTGTTGGTGACTTCGTCGTCGATCTTGGTGTTGCGGGAGAGCGTGCTGCCCAGGTACGGGAAGTTCTCTACCACTTGCAGTTGAGTCCCATTCACGTTGATTTGCGGCGCGTTGGGGGCTGTGGCTGAGCTGGGAGGCGGCTGATGCACCACCACCGTCTTCTGCGTGTTCTCGCAGGCGGCGGAGAATAGGTCCATGCTCCGTTGCATCTCCACTTCTGAGGTGGTGTTCAGGGCGCAGTCGTCGGCGAAGAGGAGTTCGTGCACGGTGGCTGTGGATACACGCGATTGGAAGTTCATGCGCCGGCGATTCAGGAGATGACCGTCCGTTCTATAGGCGATGCGGATTCCAGGGCGTTCGTCGCGGTAGGCGTCCATCAGCATGCCAGATAACATGAGACTGAAGAGGGTAGGCGCCAGCACACAGCCCTGCTTCACTCCGTTTGTTACTGCGAATGCCTCTGAGACAGCTCCGTTGTCCGTGACTCGCGCCATCATACCGTCGTGCAGCTGACGCACCATCTGAGTGAATCGCTCCGGACAGCCGAATTTCTGCATGATCTTCCACAGTCCTTTACGATTCACCGTGTCGAAGGCTTTCGTCAGGTCCACGAAGGTAGAGTACAGGTGGGTCCGCATCTCCTGGCACTTCTCCTGAAGTTGGCGGGCTGCGAAGATCATATCCGTGGTCCCACGATGACGACGGAAGCCGCATTGGCTTTCCGGCAGAAGGCCCTGTTCCAGATGGTTGTTTAGGCGGTTGAGCAGGATGCGAGCGAAGATCTTCCCGGCGATGTTCAGTAGGGAGATGCCGCGGTGGTTGTCGCAGACTTGGCGATCCCCTTTGCGCTTGTATAGGTGCACGATAAGTGCGTCCTTCAAATCTTGCGGGACTTCACCTTGACGCCACATCTCTTGGAAAAGCGCAGTCAGGTGATCCATCAGTTGGGGACCTCCGTGATTGTAGACCTCAGCAGGGATTGCGTCCGATCCGGGTGCTTTCCCGCTGGAGAGCTGCTGCACGGCCCTGATCGTTTCCTGGAGAGATGGCGGGAGGTCGAGGTCCGCGTTGGTCGCCACTTGCGGCAAGCGGGCGATGGCGGCTTCGGAGATGACGGAAGGGCGGTTGAGGACGCCTCGGAAGTGCTCGGCCCATCGCTGCAGGAGTTGCGTCTTCGCAGTCAGGAGAGTGCTGCCGTCGGCGCTGAGGAGAGGAGCAGTGCCCTTCGTCGGCGGACCGTAGACAGCTTTGATCGCGGAGAAGAAGTTCTTCCATTGGTTGCGGTCCGCGTAGCCTTGGATCTCCTCAGCTTTGCGAGCAGTCCAGGCGTCCTGCATCTCGCGCAGTCGTTGCTGAAGCTGTCGGCGACTGCGGTAGAAGGCAGCTTTGTTGCCCTCAGTTGGGTGCTCTACATAGGCTTTGTGTAGGCGGTTCTTCTCGGCAAGCATATTTCTGATGGCAGCGTCGTTGTCGTCGAACCAGTCCTGGTGTTGGTGGGGAGCGCGACCTAGGACGTCGAGCGCCGTCGACTGGACTGTGTCACGCAGTTGACACCAGCGGTTCTCCACGGAGGCGGTCTCGGCAGCGGCGGCGGCGGCGGCGTCGTTGGCGGCGGCAGCGATAGGAAGGTTGTCTAGCCGTTGAGCTTGCTCATTGCTGAAATGGAGACGGTGAGCAGGCAAAGACAACAAAGCAACATTCAGCTTACCTGGGGGTCGCTTACCTTGTGGTCTCCTGCGAGGCTGTAGGCGAATACGCATCTTCGAGATGACGAGGCAATGGTCGGTCCACCCGTCAGCACCCGCGATCGCCTTCGTCACCAGCACGTCCCGCTGATCTCGCCTCCGGACGAGGACATAGTCCAGCAGGTGCCACTGACGCGACCGAGGATGCCTTCAGGTGGCCTTCTCTCGCACCGGCAGACAGAAGAAGGTATTCGTCAGGGTGAGGCGGTGTTCTGCGCAGGTGCGGAGGAGAAGCAGGCCGTTGTCGTTGGAGCCGCGGAGACCGTGGGGACCCAGCACTCCCCTCCAGGCAGTATGGTCTATGCCGACGCGGGCGTTGAAGTCACCAAGGACAATCAACTTGTCCGCCTTCGACACAGTCGCCAAGAGGGCGTGCAGGTCCTCGTAGAATTTGTCTCTGACGGCGTCGGGGTTGGTCATCGTCGGAGCGTAGGCGCTGATGATGGTGACGAATTTGCCTCCCCAGAGAGGCAGGCGGAGGCTCATCAGGCGATCGTTGATGCCCTGCGGCAAACAGGGCAGTCGTCCCACGATGTCGGTCCGGATGGCGAAGGCGACGCCCGCGTCTCGTCGCTCTGCCCTGTGTCGGCCACTCCAGAAGAAGGTTTAACCGGCACCCACCTCCTCCAGTTGGCCTTGTTCGGAGAATCGGGTCTCGCTGAGTGCGGCGATGTCCACCTTGTAGCGCGCCAGTTCTCGTGCCACTAGCGCCGTCCTCCGTTCCGGTCGGTTGCTCCTCGGATTGTCTAAAAGGGAACGAACATTCCAGGCTGCCAGTGTGAGCGGGCTCACCCTGTCAGTCTGGGGAAAACGAGTGGGGCGATGGGAAGGAGGTGGAGAAGATGACGAAGGAGAAGAATAGGCAGAAGAATAGACGGAGGTAGAGGTAGAAGAGGTAGGATGAGGAGAATGAGTATGGTTGTTGTTGTTGTTGTTGTTGTTGTTGTTGTTTCGAGTTTGATTGTTTCGACCGTGAGTTTTGCGTCTGCGACCACGGTGCGCCAGCAGACGACGTGGTTCCCCAGCAATTTTTAGGCCAGCTTTTCCAGGCCCCCCCGAAGGAAGCAGTGCCCTGACCCCTGAATAGGGGCTGCTTGATGTGCCGGCACGGCCGAACTCCACTGTGGGCCACGAGTTTTTTGGCAGTGGAAGAACGACTCGAATTTGCCAATGGCTTACGGCATTGCCGCAAGCCAGCGGTCTCCTACGGTGCACCAGATGGGCGCGTGTCGACAGTGCCAATTCGGAGATACATTCCACCGGCTGATCAACGGCGTACCAGGCGGAGCCTCGTCTAGACGAGGTCGATGCGACGTTCCACCACCAACCGGCTGACCAGCGGTGTGTCAGACAGAGCCTCGTCACGACGGCGCCGACGCGGTGTTCCATCCGACCAACCGTCCACGGAGTCCTCAGTCACCTGTGCACGCGGCACAACGCGCACAGGGAGTAACCGCCCTCACCTGGTTTAGCCCGCCAGTCGAGACGGTTGCCCGGGATGTGGCCGCTGAGCAGAGCCCAGCTACGTGGAGTCACAGGTGAGAGTTGAGTGCCAGCAAGTGGACGCTAGGCGTAGTCTCACCTGCAAGCAAGTGAGCGACCACTACGACCTTCACGTGAACCCACCGCTGACACCCCTACACCCCGGTCTTTAATAATAATAAATACACCTCAGGCTGTTGACTGAGTCCGTGTGTAGCCGCTTTGCGTCATAATGCTGGCAAGTAAAATGATATGAGGGAAGAAATACGTTTTTTTTACTAGAAACGAACTTCATCTCGTTTAGATGGTCTGCCTACTCTCCGGAATATCTAAAAGTTCTTACTTGCAATTTCTGATATTACATTTATGCTATTTTATGGTAAGTAAGCAATATCCCATGTGACTAAAGGCTTCATGACTGTAATTCTCACGAAATAGAATACTAAAATATATAGAGACCAAAGGAATCAAATACAAAATCGAGGACGCGGTAAGGCGGAGATTTTTACGATACTTTTTGCACAAACAGACGGGGCCACTGGGTATACAATCCGAGACACGCTTCTAACGCTAGTTGATGGAAAAGTGAAAACATTGGGTAATAAAAATTCCATAGACAGGAGTGCAGATTAATGGTGGAAGATATAGTCGAAGATAAACGTGTTTGGTTTGAATGGGCTTTTCTCTTTTTACACCCAAAAATGACTTACCAGCTCTTAATGAATATGAGATACGAATAATAGCTTAAAATTGTTTAACGCTTGATTTACTGACTTCTTTCGACGAGAAAAAAATATGCATTTGTCAACGACAACACCCACCTACGGGAAACACCAAAAATAGATTGACGGAGTCGTATGACCCATAGTAGTACCTGTAATAGGCATAAGATGTTGCTTGCTTGCATCGGCATGCAGATATAAAAGGTCGCATTGTTTAAAAGTACATTAAAAAGAAAGCACATTTATAACCGAAAGGACTTATTTTTCAACCCCAAAACACCCTCTCACACGCAAACATGTATTCAGCGCCGTGTCGATACGCATGAACTCAGAAGGAATTTACGACGAATTGCACATGTATACCTAAAAATTATACATTATGGAGCAAACGATGGTGGCATGCTTTCATTTTCAGTTTATTTTAGGTCGCAGAATGCTCCACAGTTGCATAAAATATATCATTAAAAAACTGCCGAAACACGTATTAATTTTGTTGGCCTGAAGGGCATTGAGAAGGCCCTGCATCAATTGGTAAGGAGATCCTGCCTGGACACACAGCTTCCTGTAGCAGAATTAGTAAATGCCACTAGTTGTCATAGGCTTGGGGAACTTGATTTACATTTATTTTTTCATACGGCCCCCGGCGTGCTTTGTAATGTAGCTATTTAGTGTATTGATAGCCTTCAAGAACTCACAAGGAATTTACGACGAATTAAATATTAATACCCAAAAATTATACATTATGGAGCAAACGATGGTGGCAGGGTTTTAGTTTCAGTTCATTTTAGCGAACGTAGGTGTTGAAACTGTGAGCTCCTTGTTTTTACAATGTAGTAAATTATATCAAAAATGTAATAATGTAAACAATAAATATAAAAACCAGCCTGATAAACGAATTGCTCCAAATTTTTAAAATATTTGCATTAATAACTGTTCTGTGCAGTAGTCTGTCTATGGATACTTGGTGCAATCTCAGTTTCTGGGGGAGACAAATTAAATGCCAACTTGAAAAGTCAAGTTTGCGAACACGTGTTTTCGGTAATTCTTCGTGAGGCCAATACAATTACATAAAGGAATGAAAAATTACAAAATCAACAGGGCTTATAGATGTCTCAAGGGCTATTAAGTCATTAAAATTCATCATCCCAACGCCGCCCGCATGACAAGGTCGGCGGGTTTTGGCCCGCAGAGCTAGGGGAGAGGGGTAAAAGAGTCTTTGAGCGATGTTCTTGGATTGAGTACACGGAGTACCCATCACTGTAATTCGGGATTTGAGGTGGCAAGGCGTCATCACTTGGGGTTGGCGATGACCACGGCAGAGAGCGCTTGTGTCAGGGTTTTCTGACAGAATAACACCGGATTCGCTAACCATATTGCCACTGCCTCAGCCGTTGCTACTATCCGTTGGCGTAGGCCTTTAGAGAAGCATGTAGACCACCTGAAATGCTTCCTTGGCATCGACTCGGCGATTCGTATCGATTAAATGTGCGAGAATAGAACTCGAAATCGACTGGGTCTCCCCTCTGTCTAGCCAGGCTGGCATTTGCTCCCGAACCCTTTTTACCAGGCGTCTTGTTTTGCGGCCGATGTATCCTGCTCCACAGGAGCAAGTGAAGGAATAAATGCACATTGATGTGTCCTCCAACGGTAGTCTGTCTTTACCCCCCAAACGTAGGAGGGGAGAGTTTGTGAAGCATACGCGTAAATTCGCCGCGGGGAATGCCCTCGTGATAGCTGTAGTTAAGCGCCGTCGGACAAGTTCTCTCTCTGCGTCTCCTGCAAAAGGCAATCTTATGAATGCATCTTTCTTTTCCGCAGTCGCAACAGTAGGCTTTTCGGCGCGTTCCCTAATATTTCGAAGGATAAATATATCTGGGTATCCGTTCTCGCGAGATGTTTTCCGCAGCTGTTGCCGTTCTTCTTCAATAGCTTCAGATGAACAGATGCGTCTCACCCTCGACGCCAATCCCTGGACAAAATTCCAACTACCTCTCACATTCAACTAAGTCGGGAAAATCATAAAAAAACAAACGCTACTGATATAAGACAGTAATATAATAACATTGATAAACTGTTCAAATTAGATGATAAGGCAATATCCAGCGTTCTAAAGAATAAAGTAGGTTTGTCGCGCATGATCTGTGTCTATGAAATCTGTACTGGACATCGCATACCAGATTATGCTGTTTTAGGAAGCGCATTATTTTTCGCCTAATTTTTTGCATAATTTTGCAGCAAATTGAACTAAGGCTTATTGGTCTGTAATTGTTTGCTAACTCCTTACTGTCACCTTTATAAATGGGTGTGATCTGTGTAGATTTTTAATTGGCGTACAAATAACCTGCTTTGAACATAGCTTGAAAAGTCATGGACAACGGTTTAAATAGTTCTCCAGCGAGCTCTTTCAACAATTTCGGTGGTATGTCATCCGGCGCAGGGGGATTATACATATTCATCATCGCCAGTTCTTTGTGAGCAATAGCTTCGGGAAAATAGACAAACGCGATTGTTGGCCCGCCACTATGTCGCAGTCGGACGGAAGAAATTTGCTTTTCTTCGCAAAGATGGATTTCAAAAAATTGTTAAAATGGTGCTAGCTTTGCTCCGTCTTCACTGAGTTCTAGGTCGTCACTGGCTTTCAATAATGGACATGGGTCTCTGTTTTTGTGGAGTTCTTCTTATATAACCAAAAAATAACTCCGTATTTTCTACGGCCTGCTTCAGTAGGTTACTCTCCGCATGCAGAGGATTAGCCTCTTATCTAGCGTCCTATGTGCCTTTTATGCATTTATCGACACAAAGATCCTTTCC